GCTTCACGGTTTATTTAGAGTACACTCCGTGTTTTGGTGTTATATAACCATAACATGACAAGGTAATCCTTAAATATTATTGTTTATTTAATCTACCTAATGGTCGCATGTGATAAGCAAGTTGTGTTATACAGTTGTACTCTTGAAAGCGATTTGTAATGCCATCTTTGGTTGTTAGACTGTTACAAATATGTACGCTAAAATGTATAGGTGTTTAGCTGTGTAGAGTATAGGTGAACGTCATCTGTGGTATCCATGGATTGATTTTTAGATATTTTAACTCGAACATACCCAAGGAGGTTATGTCTGGAGAACTGTGAACTTACGAGATTGGGTTGTACATTAACAAAACTAGCGGCTAGGGTAAGAACCGGTTAAACGTGAAATGCGAAAGGATTTTATCTTTAATTCTACCATGTACACTTGCAAACTGCAAAGCGAAAATAACCGAATGTTTAGTCGAGTCGAGTGATATTTCAACTAGGCATTATATTTCAAATTCCGTCTCCTCCTTATTTACAAACATTGTAAAAATATAAATATACACCAATTATTGTTTAAGTGACATTGTCTTTTAACTGTTAACACAGTGGGGCATATCTTCAGTGAAGATTTTTAACATGCCTATTCTGTCTTTGCGTATTGCAGACTTATCTTCTCTTGTGAGCAGGTATCGATTGTTACGTCGTTGGTTTGTGAGAGTAACGACATCAATTTTTGAGAAAACGACGTAATTTTCTCACACAAACCAATGACGTAACAATCAATACCTGCTCACAAGAGATGATAACTCTGCATTACGCAAAGACGGAATACAGTTGATGTTAACGTTGTGATGGTTGAACAATTAATTAGCTTACATTTAATATTTTGAATTATTGTGTACTGATGCTTTCAAAATAAATGGAGTTTTTTTCAGTGTATTTGGACTCAATAATGTCTTAAATTATCTTTAACTATCACCGATTCATTACCCAAGAGCCTAATGACATTTTATTAATAAAAGTTGCATTGTATTTCAGTGTGACAAAATACCGTCTAGACAATCAAAGACCGCTATCTTATACAATTGTATACTGTAGTAATGAATAGTGAACTAGGTTGCAACTGTCACCTATGTAACACAGCTAATGCGTTTTACCGTATAATTGTACATAATAATGTGGATTGTTAGCCGAGTGCCAGTTACCCTCAAGTACATGCAAAAATTAAATATTATATTTCACGAAACCAACTGCAACAATTATGACGTATGGCCTAATAACTTTTATGTGCTTATTGTAATGTTATGAATATTTAGCCTCACCACCAAGTGACGCCTGTCCAACCAACCTGTATTGGTGGATACGGAAGAGAGGGTTTCTAATGTCATGTTAACAATTAAAACAACGCTACAGGTCAACAAAATACACATGCTGTTCCAGTATCTTAAGAGGCGACTGATGAGGGACATCCCTGCATACTTTTAAGATTTGCTTTAGCGACCAAAATAAATCTGCTGTATGAGAGATATTAATCTTTCTTTCTAATTATAACTTCCTTTTATTTCCTACAGCCTTTCTTGGCAACACCTCGCTGTTGGCTTTAATGCTGAACGTTCGCCCAAGTTATGAAGACAACAGGTTATGTCACATACCGAAGTCCTTCTATTTCATGCTAAACGTTCAGCATGAAGGGTTATGGCAACAACTGATTCACCCGTTGTCGGTGGAATGTGACCAGGAGGAATGTTAACATTCGTGCTGGGTACCTTCGGAATGGTATTCCAGTGAAATAGCACATTATATCTGCGCTACACACGGAGGCAATTGCACCAACATACCCTGCCTCCCGCATACACAACACACATGGAAGCACGTCTTTTAATGACCTCGGCTGTAAATAGGACGTTACACCCTATAAAACCAAACCAAATCAAACACTAAGTTAAAGGATGAGCGTAATACACATCGGTGATTACAATATAAAGGATAATAAGTACATTATGCCAAAGGTGAATGATCCTGTACCATGCAACTGTATCATCGTTCGCTGACACAATAGTTATGCTAGGAACCAATATGTGGGGATCCAAATTGGTCTGAACCTCTACTGATATAGAAGGACAGGTGTGTTTGTAGTTCACATCTCTGTATTATACTGGGTTTTGTTTAGACATGCTAAACTGTTGGACTTTATATTAACTGAGCTCAATGTTTGTCTAAATGATGCTGATATGAAACCCTTAGAATGGTATATGCACACCACTTTTTAATAAATACAACGGAACAAAAACGAATGCATCTTTTTTTTTTTATTATATATCTATTTCATAGATGATGAAATACAAGCAAAGCAATTCACATACATCTGTCCAATCATTCCGACCTGGTTCCAAAACATTTTCCTCAAATGATTTTGTGCTTTTGGAATGTTATCTATATTAGTGTTGTTCGATTCGACCATACCAGTAATCAGACTCTGTCTATTTCCAATACTGCGATACATGTAACACACATGGGGTTCACGTTTACTGCAAACAACGTTTAACCAGGTTATGTCCAAAAAAAAGAAGACAAATGCTATAAAATTTTGTATTTTCATATGACCAAACCTATTTCAGGGGACTGGACAGACATGACAAGGAATTACATACCAAAAACAATTAACATGCTGTAAATTGGTATTATGAAACCCAAACAACATCACACACACACTATCGACTACATTAATAACGCTTTGATAAAACTGTTTCTGGTTAAACATTAAACAAAAGATGATGGATAGGTAACAAGACATGAGCTTTTGGAGAATAGCCTAGCTCTTCTATTCAGCTTATATTAGAACAAAATAGTCGACTTCAAAAAAGGTAAAATATAAAGCCCATTGTACTTTACAGTTAATCATGCATGAAGATACTTGGAATGTCAGGATCTTTTACTGACTGCACATAAAATGTAAATCATGGAATCACAAATATGATAATGTTACACAACTTCTAGCAATTTAAAGGTTTCGCTAACTCTTTTAAGACAAAACTATTAAATTTGAAATAATTCACATGCCATGGAATTTAATGAAATATTTATCATCTGCATTAATGTTACATAATGATATTATATATGTTATATTGTGTTGTAAGCAACCGTGTAAAATAAACACACACTAATAATCAATTGAGAAAATACCTTCTAGAAAAATGCTCTTGATCTTTTAAAAATAATACGCACAACCATTTCCAATAGTGATCAAGGAGAAATGCATTACTACATAAGTAAAGGTCAATCTTACAGCAATCAACTGGCATTTTATTCATTCCTTATACAATTGAAAATTAGATAAATCTTAAACATGGATCACAACGCAATTCGACCTTGGAATTTCATAAGGAACTATTCCAACCTTTGAATTGGAAGAGTTCAAATGCGTCTTCAGGGGGTGTACGAGTAAATAGACATCAATATCTTGAGAGAAAAAAAAAAATCATTCTTAATGAATTGATAATTATAACAACCAGAGCACATTGTGGAATATTTACTAGAATTAAAGTCATTATCATAACATTGGATGGGGGAAAAGCCCACTGAATTAAACATAATAAATGGAAAAAATTATTGCACTCTTACTTTAAATCAAGTGTCAACAGAATAAAATCGAATTATTTAGAAGTAAAACATAAATCCATGAAAACTTTACCTCAAAGCTATCTAATTTTAAAAAATGTGGAAACCATATACTATGTAAATATATAAATATATATATGTAACTATAGCAGCATACATTAAGAAAGCATCAAACCACACGTATCTTGCTCTGTATGCATAGAGCACTTTTCATACTAGGATTTTCTTTTCTTAAACTCAATTAATAATTCAAGTAAGAAATAAATACTTCTGAAGTTCCATTTGAATACATATTACGAGTGTATCGGTTAACATTCCTTATACAAATATTTGTTTAATAACTGTTAGAAATTGACACGCAGGCATAATTTGTTTTGGGGCAGTGATATGAAACAAAAACACTTTTTGGGGGTTTGAATACGATATTGTTCTGTGTGACGTACACTGTGATATTGTTCTGTGTGACGTACACTGTGATGACCCCAGAACGAGATCTTGTTTACGCTTCATCAGTGCGACAAACACTGGTAAATGTATCACAAGTATTACGTCAGGTGACGCTGATGTTGGGTTAGGGTTAGGGTTAGGGATTTTTTTTTACAACAGGCATTGTCTTTCACTCTGACATCGTCTAATTCAAAACTCAAAAACTCAGCTCAAGTCCGATAAAATGAAAGGATTTTATCTTTCTGAAGCGACCCCACTGTTTGCGACAGGGTCATTTTCATAATTCTAAAAACGAAATAAAAACATGATATTTGACAGTTTCGAGTAGATACTAATTTATATTTAAAGAAAAGTATATGAATATAAGTATGCCAATTTTCGTGAAAAGAAAGTGTTCTACAACTCGAATTAAATACAAAATGAACTGTATATATTCTCCCTCTCTAACTACAAGCTTAAAGTACTAATGTATCATTATATAATTACTTTTATTCAATTATGATGAATAATACTAAAATGTATTTTGCAGTAATGTACATATAAAAGTTCACAAATATATATATATGTAGACAACCAGTGTTTGTTAAATTTACTTCTTTAATTTCAAGCAAATTATACAATATATTATTTTTCCACAACCGTTCATCACAGGTCACGACCAATACTCATTTCAGTTAAGCTGTTCATCATTAAATTTTACATTAAAATAATTATAACATATGGATGAAAACACATGCCATCCATTTTCTGCCTCATTCTTATTTCTACAACCCAGAAATACCAAGATTTAATGCTATTTACTATACAAGTCATCATTTGCTGTTCAGTATTCCGTCTTTGCGGATTGCAGAGTTATCCTCTCTTGTAAGAAGGTATTGATTGTTACGTCATTTGTATGTGAGAGTAACGTCATCAATTTTTGAGAAAACAACGTCATTTTCTCACACAAACCAATGACATAACAATCAATATCTGCTCACAAGAGAAGTTAACTCTGCAATACGCAAAGACATAATATGTTAATAAATACAGCAAATAAAATGCAGGTCAGGTAGTCTAACAGATACAAGAAAGAAGCATGACAATTACTGTATAGGGATACAAACCTACACCTAGGAAGAAACAAATCTCTAGCCCAATACCTGTTGTTATTCACATTTTTACCTGCATTTCCACAAAATTTCACTGGATCTTAATATAAATTATACAAAGTGGCAATACAGAACAATCAATGTGCTAATCAATTTCAGTGAGTGTTCCATTATTTTGCTCCTAGCTGGGACAATTATGATGGGTTAAATGTTTGCAAAATTATTTGTTTCCCCCTTTTTTTCTAGTCAATAGTCCTGGCCATCTCTTTAACAAAGGTAATGCATTTTGGACCAGTCTTTACATTTCCTTTTGTCTTGCCTCATGGCAAACATTAGAAAAAAAACAAAATTCAAATTATGAGAACCGTACAGTCATATTTAAAATATGGGAATCCTTGTCAGTATGGGAAGCCTAGCTTGCCCACGACTTATTTTGGTTTAGTTTTCATGCCCTGGGCCACCCCTTTCGCTAGCATTGGTCCACCTTTGTGCAGATAGAGGATAGGCCAGACCACGTAGTTGACACGGTCTCCTCCTTTGGTGTAGGATCTGAGCCGGTCGTGATCAAATTTCTCACCATGCGAGAACTCCCACTCGATATGGACGGGTGGGTCCTGCACTCGCATCATCCAGACATACGACACAGTGTCTTTGATGAACTGGTCACATGCCTTAATCGTATCAGCATCCATGTTGTGTAGCTTTTGCAGCCTTGACTTCATAACCTGTCAGACAAAATAACAAAAATGTGGTCAATAAACATTTTGAGTGCAAAATGTCCAACTTCAAATTAAAGAGTACATTCACATAGGAAATTGCAATGAAAATATTTTGATAAAATCTCCGAAAGTTATCAACCAATCAGTAAAATAAAGTATAGTTCTTTGATAGGAAAACAAGTGCTGAACATTCGTACAAGTTACAGTTTAACCAATCAGCAAAACATTGTTAACTACATGCATGCAGATTAAAATATACTGACACTATTTGTGAAGTATTGTACTCTACAACACTTACTTCAAACAGCAGCCACATACTTCTTAACTACCAAATCCATAAAGCATGGTTAAGACTCCCAAACAGCTTGTTAACAATGTTAACCTGACGTAATAATACCTCAAACAGCAAGCCAACATTGTTAAACATAACATTAACACAAGAGGTATTCTAGCATTAACTAGACGGAAGTTTAACCTTACACGTACAGCTGATTGATCACTGTCTGTTAAAACTTGTACTGACCAATAACTGTCTGTTAAAACTTGTACTGATGGATAAATCTGTAAAACTAGTACTGATCCGGTGGATAACTGTCTGTTAACATTTGTACTGATGGATCAATCTGTAAAACTTGTATTGATGGATAACTGTCTGTTAAAACTTGTACTGGTGGCTAACTGTCTGTTAAAACTTGTACTTATGGATAAATCTGTAAAACTTGTACTGGTGGAAAACTGTCTGTTTAAACTTGTACTGGTGGAAAACTAGTCCGTTAAAACTTGTACTGATGGATAACTGTCAGTTAAAACGTGTACTGATGTATAACTGTCTGTTAAAACTTGTACTGGTGGATAAATCTGTAAAACTAGTACTGATGGATAACTGTCTGTTAAAATTTGTACTGATGGATCAATCTGTAAAACTTATATTGATGGATAACGGTATGTTAAAACTTGTACTGGTGGATAACTGTCTGTTAAAATTGTACTGATGGATATATAACAGTCTGTTAAAATTTTACTGATGAATAACTGTCTGTTAAAACATGTACTGATGAATAACTGTCTGTTAAAACTTGTACTAATACATAACAGTCTGTTAAAACTTGTACTAATACATAACTGTCTGTTAAAACTTGTACTGATGGATAAATCTGTAAAACTTGTACTGATGGATAAATCTGTAAAACTAGTACTGATCCGGTGGATAACTGTCTGTTAAGATTTGTACTGATGGATCAATCTGTAAAACTTGTATTAATGGATAACTGTCTGTTAAAACTTGTACTGGTGGCTAACTGTCTGTTTAAACTTGTACTGATGGATAAATGTGTAAAACATGTACTGGTGGAAAACTGTTTAAACTTGTACAGGTGGAAAACTGTCCGTTAAAACTTGTACTGATGGATAATATAACTATCTGTTAAAACGTGTACTGATGTATAACTGTCTGTTAAAACTTGTACTGATGGATAAATCTGTAAAACTAGTACTGATGGATAATTGTCTGTTAAAATGTGTACTGATGGATCAATCTGTAACACTTGTATTGATGGATAACGGTATGTTAAAACTTGTACTGGTGGATAACTGTCCGTTAAAATTGTACTGAAGGATAACAGTCTGTTAAAACGTGTACTGATGGATAACAGTCTGTTAAAACTTGTACTGATGAATAACTGTCTGTTAAAACTTGTACTGATGAATAACTGTCTGTTAAAACGTGTACTGATTGATAACTGTCTGTTAAAACGTGTACTGATGGATAACTGTCTGTTAAATATTGTACTGATATAAAACGGTCTGTTAGAACTTGTACTGATGGATAACGGTCTGTTAGAATCTGTACTGATATATTATAACTGTCTGTTAAATCTTGTACTGATGTAAAATGGTCTGTTACAACTTGTACTGATGGATAACGGTCTGTTAGAATCTGTACTGATATATTATAACTGTCTGTTAAATCTTGTACTGACGTAAAATGGTCTGTTACAACTTGCACTGATGGATAACGGTCTGTTAGAATCTGTACTGATAGATTATAACTGTCTGTTAAATCTTGTACTGATGTATAACGGTCTGCTAGAACTTGTACTGATGGATAATTGTCTGTTAGAATCTGTACCGATGGATAACGGTCTGTTAGAACTTGTACTGATGGATAATTGTCTGTTAGAATCTGTACTGATGGATAATGGTCTGTAAGAACCCATACTGAAAACACTGTCCACTGTCAAACAGCTGGAATGAACACCTACCTCCAACATTGACCTGACATACATGTATATAACTTTCACCAACTCATACCTCCTCACCAAGCTGTTGGTGAGCTTACCTATCTGACAACAGCCTGAGATTTCCCCAATCCTCAGACAGCATTGTGGTTACATCCTGAAAGAGCTTTTTTATCTGAAACTCCATCAGATAAAAATCCTAACAGAACCTTAACATAATCAGTACTTGACTATAACAGCCTGCAGATAAAACCCCTTCACCTAAAACAGCGTTCAGCTTACAGCCCACTGGAACTCCTACCTTACAAAGAATTGCACTATCAACTTAACAGAATCTCGATATCATACTTATTGCACTAGCAACTTACATTATATGTAACATATTCCTGATATCAAACTCTAACAGTTTTCAGACTACTTACAGAGCTCAAAGTAGTGAGCTAAATGCTTGCCCTGAGGGAACTCAATTAAAAACATGCTATTCATCTGGCAAAAACTTTACTTCACATAGAGCAGGAAGATTTTTTGTCTTTGACAGACTATGCACCCCGACACAGCCTGTCCCACAAGTGCTATATGCTAACAGTCAAACACTGCAAAAGACCTTACCTCACACAGCAATATGTTAACACGCTGCTATTGGCAGAAACATAGTATTACCTCCAACAAGTTGTCCCCTAATATAATGACAAAACCCTTAGGTCAAACAACTGGTTGGCTAACAGCCTGATATTGACAAAACCCTAACCTCAAACAGCAATCAGCGTACAGCATGCTACTGGAAGAAACATGACCTCCAACAAATTATCTGTGAATATAATAGCCTGATAATGACAAAACCCTTACCTCAAACAGCAATCAGCTTACAGCGTGCTTCTAGCAGAAACTTTTACCTCCAACAAATTATCTGCTAATATAATAGCCTGATAATGTCAAAACCCTGAACAAACTGGTAAGCTAACAGCCTGATATTGACAAATCCCTTACCTCAAACAGCAGCGGGCTTACAGCTCCACAGCTTGTCTTGCGGTAGTCTTTTAGTGGCTTTGTGATTTCTGCTGGTAGCTTTGTTAACATCCCAGTGTTCTTAAATAAAAGTTATATGATGTAATCAGTAAGATAAAGCTAAATCTGACTGTCCATACATGTATTTAACCCTGCCTTTCAGGATTCTTACGATATAGATATGAAATATTTTGCAGCAAAAAAAAGCTTACAGAATAAACATACATAAAATATTTCAATATAAAATCTCTATAATGCTCATTTGTTTCACCTGATCACTTAAAATCAAAAGATAATTAATGTTTTATCAACAGTTTTATTTTTGGAACCCTGCAGCTTGAAGTAACTTCCTTCCTTCATTTGATTTTGGGCAGTAAATGACATTTAACATATGATACACTCTTGCATATAAATGTGTGGATAAATATTAGCTTGATATAAAATTCACAACTGCATCTCCCTGAAAAATGATCTTTTTAACTATTGCAGAATGCTATTCACCAGAAGTGGCCTGGCAGTATCCCGAAGGTCATCAATGTCTGGTACAGCTACAGGCAGTTCCAGCGAAGTTATAAAGTCTGTCTGAGCGTCACCAATCTCCTCAAATTTTGTAAATACATTCTAACAGAAAAGATGAAATATCATTAATGCTAAAAAGCACAACTAGAAATTCTAGAGGCAAACAAAAATGTACAACCTGCATGACTCTGCATATCCATATCCTAAAATTTGCTGCCAATATATTTTAGTTGGAGTAAGATATATATATGATATTAAAAGACACTAATTTAACATGGAGATGAAAGTGCACCTGTATCTGGTCCCTTACAAAAAGCTGTTTTATGACTTTTACACAGTCATGTATACATTAAAATTCATTTCACATACTGCAGCTGGTAGACTGGCTCCTTATAGCTTGTTGGACCAGTTTGTTAGGCTGTAAATCAGGTTTCAAATTTCTCTCATCCTTAACTGCACTATTGCATAGACAGGTTTATGTATGGTTGATTATATAATTAGCGGGCAAAATCCATCGTGATATAAGACAAAATGGTGTCTCTAAATAAAACAGCCAGATCAACGGACAGGAGGACAACATGATTCCAGTAAACCCTCCTGATTTATATATACATCAAGGTGCGTATGTACACAGGATAACACTATTGAGTGCTTAAATCATTAGATACGCTGATCCATTGGAAATATGAAATACTTCCATTTGTTTACGGTTCAATAGCTTGAGATTACAGCTATATCTAGCATGTTAAAAGCTATTGTAATGTATATCTAAGTACATTTAACAAGACATCCCAGAGGGATCTTGGCATTCACCATTATACCATCTTCATTATAGTTCTGTCATTTCAATATTTTCTTTTCTTTTCTCTATCTGTTTGATCGAGTGATGTTGACAGTAAATGCACCTTGAGGTAATTTATGATCAAAACTTAACTAATAAGGATCAAGGGAAACCTACAACTACTTCCTAAGAAATAGCACCAACAAACCTTTAATGTCAAAATCCAAGATGGCCGCCAGTTGGCCATCTTGTTTATCCGATCAGTCTAAAAAGTGAACATGCATATTAAAGGACCATGGGGAACCTACTAACCAATCTGAGAAAGATCCCTCCAGTATTTCCTTAGACATAGCAATAACGATCCTTCGCCGTTAAAATCGAAGATGGCCACCTGTTGACTATTTGTTTACCTGTTCAGTCTCAAAAGCAAATATATGATCGCCAACAGACCAATTGGAACTTACACATCACATTTAAGAAAGATCCCTCCTGTGGGACCTGAGAAAAAAGTTAACAAACCTTCAATGCCAATATCCAAGATAGTTGCCTGTTGGCCATTTTGTTTATTCAATCAGTCTCAAAAGTAAACAGGAACAACTAGCTATAGTGACCAAGAGGAACCTTCAAATCAAATTTGAGAATGATTCCTCCTGTGGTTCCTGAGAAAAAAAGTTAACAAACCTTCAATGCCAATATTCAAAATAGTTTCCTGTTGGCCATTTTGTTTATTCAATCAGTCTCAAAAGTAAACAGGAACAACTAGCTATAGTGACCAAGGGGAACCTTCAAATCAAACTTGAGAAAGATCCTTTCAGTACTTTCTGAGAAATAGTGATAATTGAACAAGAATTGTTTAATGACGGACTATACGGACAAAGGGTGAATTGATTAGCCGACCATCAGATGATGGTGGGCTAATACAAAATTATCTATAAAGTACACTTACCTTTACGATATCAAGAAGAAGTTTAATGGCCTCTACCTCCTCTATTTTGCAGTCATTCTCAAGATTCTCCATGGCATTGGTCCACTCATTGTCATAAAGCTCTGATACCTTCTCTGCCAGTTTCATCGGGCGGTTTGGGTCGCTAAGGTCAGTGATAGCCGGGTTATTGTCACGAAGCTTGTTACCAGCGACAGCACTGAGTCTGTGTACGAATATATAATTCATCTAATTAAAACCCTGACATCATCAGTTCAACACAATAACACACCCACAGGTACGATGCACCTATACATTTTGGTAATAGATATATCGAATTACATTGCATCAGATAGCTATTGGTAAGGGGCCAACCTGTTGAAGTTTGATTGTCTAAACTACCGTTTAAATAGAAATACAGGGGCGTCAAACCCTTTAATTTATAAAATACAAAATTTAGACGGGAAAGGAATAATATTGAATTAAACAGTCTGTAAAGTGTGGTATATTATGAACCATGCCACTACTCAAAGTGGACACCTATAAGACCGTCAAGGTTACAGCAAATCTCAGGGTATATATTATAATATTCTCCCCGTGTGTTTCTTTAAAAATTGAAAATGGATTATATCACTCGTAATGCTGTAGTGTGATGGAGGATGGTGTACTTCAGGTAGTTGCCCTAGACAGGGATATAGGGGTTTAATTAATCTATATACGTTCTGAGATAGGCAAAAAAAAAAAAGGGTGTACATATATATCTGCATTCTCCAATGAGATATACAGGAGTACTTCTCTATTTCATTTCACAAAGATTTTATTGAATATTGCATCGGATACAAATTCAATGTTTTCACTATTCTTCCAGGAGAAGGATTCTGCATAGAATAAAACAGTATAGAGTGTTTTCCATACATTTCTTTTTTTTTTGGAAGAGGGTGGCAGGAGGGTAAACTGATGAGATTTAGTATGGAACACTTAAATATGACCTTAAGTTATTAATGCATCCTCTGCCGAAGGGCCATGTGAGCTTATGCTGTATGTACTGCGGCGTCCATCGTCCGTCTGTCAACTTTTTCTTTTGAACGACTTCTTCTGAAGGACTGGAGGACCTAGGGTCATGATTTTTGGCCAGTAGGTATACATGTACCTGGGATTGAATGCTATAAACTTTTCTCATTAAAATTGCCTTGACCTAGTTTCAAGGTCACAGGGTTCAAATACATATGTATGTATGTTACAAACTTCAAACAACAATATCCTAAGAACCATTTGGACTAGAGTCATAATACCTTGGTATGTTATATATGCAGACCAGCTGTGTGAATTGTTTTCTTTATTACAGTTATGAGGTCAAAGGTCAACTTAAAGTGTTAGCCGGAGTCAAAGGTCAACGTGGGTTAAAAGCTTTAAAATTCAAATTTCAAATTTCAAAGAACAATTTCTTAAGAACCATTTAAGAGATGTTAAAATGTCCTGTGTGTACGTTCTAGTTACAAAATTTGGTCTGAAGTTACCTTTGTCAGTTTCATGTAACGAAAGAAACATGTGAGCGATGCAAGCCCCTCTGGGCCTCTTGTTTAATGTATTTATGTTTCTTAACTTTGCCACTTCAGGGAAAGGATTTTGAATAAAATACAACAGAGGTTTTCTCATACATTAGGCGGTCAGTCATTTGACGGAGACTTAGTAAATTTAAAGGAGTTTAGACATTACCTTATCAATGCCTCGTCCTTGGCCTGTCTTTCAGAGGAAAGGTTTCTCTGTAGCCTGTCAATGGTGTCACGAAGATTTTCCTCTTTTGACTGACTATGCTGGAGACTGCAAATTAAAAAGGTAGACCAGTACATTTTATTGAGTGTGATACAATATATATCACTAAACAAGTAATTTTCGAATCGGACAACAAATAACAGAACATATGAAGGAATTAAACTTACTTGTGGAGAAGAAGTATGTTACAAGAAAGCAAGATAAACACGAAAATAGTTAAAGCATGGAATTATGTCTTGCTGTTCCTCTAACTAAAAGCAATTTATTTAATTTTCCATAAACTTGTTTTATTTCCAAATAAATGCTATTTGCATTAAAAATGTAGAACGTTATATCCATATCCCTTTATGGTCGTACACTTTGTATCAGGGGGATACTGGTGTGTTGTTTCATTGTGTTACATGTAATTCCTATAATAGAAGGATAATTGTGATTCTTTAGATAAGACACACAAAAATTAATGGTATATATTATGATCTGTGTCCCTGTAGGAGTGGTATTAAGCTGCATTACAAGAAAGCAAAATTTGCATGTATTTTTTTCTCACAAATAAACATGAAAATATCATTACATGGAATTATATCATGCTTTGTATATATATATATTTGTGTTTCCCTAATTGGGGAGATACGACCATGGTGCATAACTGTCAACCCTTCCTCATTAGGAGGGCAGACTCCTTCATTTTGACCAAAATCTACCAATCACCCTTAAAACTCCCTCATTTGAGTCCACGCAGACTCACACAAACTCAAAATCTACATCCTGTGGTCAATTGGCCTCCTTATTACTGCAGGGTGTGTGTAATGATTATAACAGGTGTGTCTGAATGAAATGAATGCTTTTTGGAGTTATTTTGATTCACCAAAATGGAAAGATAAATTGAGCAAAGCAGTTTCACACACTTTCTCCCTTATTGGAGATCAATATGCATTTAGGGAGATCTCCCTCATTTGAGATTTCGAGGTCGACACCTATGATGGTGTATTGTACTGGTCCTAATGTGAGAGAAGGGACTAAAGAGGGATATTCAGTGTGATCATTATAAATGTTACTTAATTTCTACAGGGAAAGTACAAGTTAATTTCTTTCCTGAGGAATACTTATAGTGTACTTTATCAAGCTGCATTTCTGCAAAGAGAAGTACAACCCTCAGTCAATCCATATCTATGTGATAGCAGAGTACAGTAGAAATGGCCTGATCCTAAAAATAAAGGGCATGTCTCGGATAAACATGGATAGTGGATTCAACCTGCACAACCCATATACGGCCACCTACATATATATATATATTTATAAACTACATTTTGATTATATTTTATTTAGAAGACTGAACTGTTTTTCAAAAACTGTTTTTCCCATATTTGGGACTTGTAAAAACCATGGTTACCACATGAAAAAACACCAAAAAATGCAAAAGAACATGATTTTTTCATCCAAAATTTGACCCCTGCAAGTAGTATTTTTTTTCTTAAAACCTGTCTGAAATTAAATATTGCCCATCTGTAACAGAAATACTTTCACAATATTTACACATGTGCTGAGTACAAAAATAGACATGAAAAGCTAGCTTTTGTCTTGTATAAGACATAGATTAGTTAATCATAATGCCCAAAACTGTCGTCTTAAATTATTTTAATTTTTTTGTTTTTTGAAAAATTATGAACCTCACATATAGTCCACTTCATCATGTATACGCCAATTTTAGCGGGTTTTTTTATTTCTTTATTTTGATACATGTAATACTACAGGGGTTAATTATTCAATGTGTAAAAAAAAAAACATGACCGCTGTACGCTACTGTACACTGCTAGCTGTGTTCCTTTTTAAACTCAGCTACTCAAAGAAAAGAATTTAGTATTAAACACAACAAAGGTTTTTGCATACATTAACTCCCTTACCCCTGAAATGTCATAATGAACTATTCCAAACTTTGAATTGGAAGAGCTTAAATGTGTCTTCAGGGGTGAGTGAGTTAATGGGGTCAGTAATTTGATCGAGTGTTAGTACAAGAGTTTAAATTTCACCTCATCAATGCCTCTGCCTTGGCTTGTCCTTCTAATTTCAGATTGTTCTGTAGCCTGTCAATGGTGTCATTTAGATTTTCTTCTTTTGACTTACTTTGATTCAGACTGTAAATTACAAAGGAGAGACTGGTATGTTTTTGAGCATTAATAATTATTTATATTTATCATTTAATGTGATGAAGAATTTCAATCAAAATTGTTTGTTCAATTGTAAGTTAATTATATAAAGTGTGATCACACTATGACAATTGGAGGACCAGAGATCTGAACAGAAATGTGTCATCTTTACATAAAACATTTTTCTAAGTAATTTTGATCTTTTCTTTTCTCTTGAGTGCTGGCTTGAGTCATGTCCACAGTAAATCAAAGTATCTCGTGGTAACTTTGATAAAAACTTTGTACTGCTGTGTTTGATACTGTCCTTTTCAAGAATTCATTGAAATATGCATACTGTTGTTCTAAATGACAATCAATAATTCTTGTAAATTCACATGAAAGTATAGATTCCTACAAAAAGATTTCTATCTTTTGACTTCTATTGGTTTTTAACATTTTAACTATCTTCAAAAATTACTGAAAAAACAATGATGAGTAACAATTTGTCATTGAGGAAGAAGTTCAAATCACTTTAACCTATATACTTGCAATTTGGAGGAAGTGTTATCAAGATTATTTTAGGTTTGATAATTTATGCATGATTTTAATGCTTTGCTACCACAAAACAATACAGAATACACCCTCACACGTTGAATGAGCAGTTGTTTATATCATTAAAATGCATGAAACATTTTTGAGTAATTGATGTTAAAGGAGAAATGATTTGAGATCTTATAAACCTGGTTGATCAATGAGTACAATAAAACATCTTGGAGTGCATGTAGTATATTCCGTTAATGAAACCAAGAGGAATGAGTCTGTTATAGTTATGGTCAGATAATTGTAACTACACTCACTCCACTGATTCAAGGGGCATAACTCCCTATACATTACAGTAAACAAGAATTCCACGGAAGTGGATGTGTCGCCTGCGCAGGAAGCTGGGAGATTACGAAGAAAAGATACACTTTTCATTTCAAGAAACAATGTTAAAAGTAAGCAATAATCATAGATTATGTTTTTGGATGGCATCATTTTGTTATATAATCTGTTGTTCTGGGAAGAATACTCTGAGTTTTAAGGAACTTGCTATGGATACTCATTGTCTCAATCCAAGTTTAATTTGTGTGATTTGTTGGATGGTTTCCCATAAATAAATGAATAAACTTGTGGATANAGGAAGCACTGCATGAAGTTTGAGTTTGATCGGCCAAAGGAAACTCAAGTTATCGCACGAAAACAGATTTTCTATTTATAGTAACAGTGACCTTGACCTTTGATCTTCGGACCTGAAAAGCAATCCCAAGCAAGCATTTTTGGTAAGGAAGCACTGCATGAAGTTTGAGTTTGATCGGCCAAAGGAAACTCAAGTTATCGCACGAAAACAGATTTTCTATTTATAGTAACAGTGACCTTGACCTTTGATCTTCGGACCTGAAAAGCAATCCCAAGCAAGCATTTTTGGTAAGGAAGCACTGCATGAAGTTTGAGTTTGATCGGCCCAAGGAAAGTCAAGTTATCGCACGAAAACAGATTTTCTATTTATAGTAACAGTGACCTTGACCTTTGAACCTGAAAAGCAATCCCAAGTAAGCACTTTTGGTAAGGAAGCAGTGCATGAAGTTTGAGTTTGATCGGCCCAAGGAAACTCAAGTTATCGCACGAAAACCTCTGTTCGGACGACGCCGACATAGCAATACCTATGTGTCACCAGCTTTTCGCAGGCGACACAAAAAGTGGTGGTTATCCAGCTTGTCATAGCTGCCATGGTAACTCATCTTCCCATGAAGTTTGAAGTTAATTCATTGAAAATTTCTCGAGACATCAAGCAGACACTGTTTCACCAATTGATTGAAGGGTCATAACTCGGAAAACAACAGTCGGATAATGGTGGTTATCGACCTTGTCCGCACATTCATTGTTTCTAATTGTCCTGTGAAGATTAAAATGAATCCATTTAAAATTACTCGAGATATCAAGCAGATTGACACCATCTGTGCCCGCCTTGTCACCCGCCGGCCCACTCACATCATTACATGATACGGCTTGTCTTTCGACGAGTGTATACAAAAGAAACTACAATAAAAGTATTATTTACAGGGTATGTAATGTAATACTGTATAAGGAACTCAAATCAAAAGAGATCTCCTTTCCTTTAACAATTGTATTAGGCCATCCCAAGGTAAGACCTTTTCAAGATCTTGTATTATGCTTCATTGTGAGAATATAAAAATAAATAGTCCTTTTTATACAACCTAAAAAATAGGTTAAGTAAAAATAGCCCAGCAAATTTGTTCACAACAAATAAAATGTTATTTCTCATACCTATAAATGAATTAACTTAGTGCCACTATCTTAAAAGTATTTTTAAACTATGTTATAATTATCTAAAGATAAAAATTTAACAAAGATACAAATATATCATTATTTTATGCATGAAAATTTTGAGAAAAATATAAGCCTTCTTAGACTTCTAGATCATGTTGGATGGTATATATGTACTACTTAGTATGCTAAGGTTTAAAGGTTTAAACTCAAATCCCATTTTACAATTTTTACAAAACTGTACTGATCATCAGTTACGTATCGTATAGACATAACCCCATCCTCGATACTCCAGGGGTTACGCTCAATTTCGCTCTCTACACCCCTGGAATATGTCATAGTAAAATTGAAGGCACAAAGATAGCTGTTTGATTGGTCTCCGGTAAAGAAAAACTGACCAATCGCTAGGCTGATAACTGTCCTTTGAAGATAACAATAAGGAGCGGCACCCGACTTAAAAGCCTGACAATATTTACCATTACGTGACGTGACTGCGAGATTCTTTTGATTTATATCAAAGGATCAAACTTGTCATCTTGTCTCATCAACAAGGTGGCCCACACTGAGATTTCAATTTTGCTTTGACATATTCCAGGAATGCAGAGAGCGTAAGTGAGCTTAACCCCTGGAGTATTGAGAATGACATAACCCTAGCCTATTGGTGTGTCAAATGAATCGTAAAAATAATTTATCAAGAATCATCACATGCAGTCACAAAAATGTCCTGATGTACATGCAGTAAGAATGTCCTTGTTGCGGTTATACCCGACATTGCAGGGCCAATATACAGTTTGGTATCAATGTACATGCATTTGCATGGCATTGTACTCATAATTGATCCTTTTATTTCAAATTGTTGCAAACGTATTAAATGCAATATTCACCTTTGTTGCAGTTCACTCCTTGACTGCCTCTCATTGTTGAGCGAAACATTCAAATCGCTGCACTGTCTTTTCAACTGGTCAATAGTTTGATGATAACTTTGAAAAATAAAAGTTAATGATTTTACAAAGGTTGTAATTTCTACCTCTGTGAAACACTTGTGTTGAGGAGGTTTCAAAGCACAGAAAGTCCACTTGTTCAGGATATTAAAACTTTGGCATACATGTGAAAAACAAATTAATCCAAAGATAAGTTTTTCCTGGACAAATTGGTTAATCTGCATATAAGTGAACAAAAGTTAAATATAATGATTCTTTGATTCCTTTGCCTCACTAAATCTTGTTTTTTTTTCAACTGGGCCCTAGAAACATATCTATAATCACTGGGAAATAAATACTAGATAATCATATTTCCTCACAACAAGGACAGCTACTCTATATCATTTATTAGCCATATTGTACACATTACCAAGCTTCTTAATGTCACTTGTCACAAAACAAGGGCAGTAACTCTTTCTATTCTCTAGCCACAATGCACACATTATACCTTGCTACTTAGCATCACTCATTACAACAAGTGCAGTACATATACCTCTATAATAATTCCCTAGCTATACATTGCGCACATAACCTCGCTACTTAGCAACACTCATTGCAACAAGGGCAGTAACTCTATAGTAATTCCCAAGCTACATTAAAACCATTACCGTGCTACTCTAGCATCACTCAACACAACAAGGGCAGTAACTCTATATTTATTCTCTAGCCATACATTACACACATTACCTTGCTACTGTAGCATCACTCGTCACAACAAGGGCAGTAACTCTATATGTTTTCCCTAGCTACATTGCATACATTACCTTGCTACTGTAGCATCACTCGTCACAACAAGGGTAGTAACTCTATATGTATTCCCTACTATATGTATTCCCTAGCTACATTGCACAAATTCCCTTGCTACTGTAGCACCACTCGTCACAACAAGGACAGTAACGCTGTATGTATTCCCTAGCTACATTGCACACATAACGTTGCTACTGTAGCATCACTGGTCACAACAAGGACAGTAACTCTATATGTATTCCTTGCTACTGTAGCATCACTCATCACAACAACGACATTAACTTTATATGTATTCCCTAGCTATATTGCACTCATAACCTTGCTACTGTAGCATCGCTCGTCACAACAAGGGCAGTAACACTATATGTATTCTCTAGCTACATTGCACACATAACGTTGCTACTGTAGCATCACTGGTCACAACAAGGACAGTAACGCTATATGTATTCCCTAGCTATATTGCACACATAGCCTTGCTACTGTAGCATCACTGGTCACAACAAGGACAGTAACGCTATATGTATTCCCTAGCTATATTGCACTCATAACCTTGCTACTGTAGCATCGCTCGTCACAACAAGGGCAGTTACTCTATATGTATTCCCTAGCTATATTGCACACATACCCTTGCTACTGTAGCATCAAACGTCACAACAAGGACAGTAACGCTATATGTATTCCCTAGCTGCATTACACACATTACCTTGCTACGGTAGCATCACTCGTCACAAAAAGGGTAGTAACTCTATATGCATTCCCTAGCTACATTGCATACATTACCTTGCTACTGTAGCATGACTCATCACAACAAGGGCAGTAACACTATATGTATCACTCGTCACAACAAGGGTAGTAGCTCTATATTTATTCCCTAGCTACATTACACACATAACAAGGGCAGTAACTCTATATTTACTCCCTAGCCATACATTCCACACATTACCTTGCTACTGTCGCATCACTCATCACAACAACGACATTAACTTTATATGTATTCCCTAGCTATATTGCACACATAGCCTTGCTACTGTAGCATCACGCGTCACAACAAGGACAGTAACTCTAGATGTATTCCCTAGCTACATTGCACACATAACCTTGCTACTGTAGCATCACACGTCACAACAAGGACAGTAACTCTATATGTATTCCCTAGCTATATTGCACACATAACCTTGCTACTGTAGCATCACTCGTCAAAACAAGGACAGTAACTCTATATGTATTCCCTAGCTAAATTACGAACATTACCTTGCTACTGAAGCATCACTCGTCAAAACAAGGACAGTAGCTCTATATGTATTCCCTCGCCACACATTACACACATTACCGTGCTACTGTGGCATCACTCATTAGAACAACGGCAACAACTCTATATGTATTCCCGAGTAAAAAGACACACCTTACCTTGCTACTGTAGGATCACTCGTCACAAAACGAGGGCAGAAACTCTATATTTATACCCTAGCCATACATTACCCATATTACCTTGCTACTGTATCATCACTCGTCACAACAGGGGCAGTAACTCTATATTTATTCTCTTGCCATACATAACACACATTACCTTGTTACAGTAGCATCATTCTTCACACCAAGGGCAGTAACTTTTTATATATTCGCTAGCCATACATTATACACATTACCTTGCTACCGTAGCACCACTCGTCACAAAACAAGGGCAAAAACTCTATATTTATCCCCTAGCCATACATTACCCATATTACCTTGCTACTGTAGCCTCACACGTCACAACAAGGACAGTGTCGCTATAAGTATTCCCTAGTTACAATACGCACATTACCTTGCTACTATAGCATCACTCGTCACAGCAAGGGCAGTAACTCTATACGTATTCCCTAGCTACATAACACACATTACCTTGTTACTGGAGCATCACTCGTCACAAGAAGGGCAGTAACTCTATACGTATTCCCTAGCTACATAACACACATTACCTTGTTACTGGAGCATCACTCGTCACAAACCAAGGGCAGAATCTCTATAATTATTCCCTAGCCATGCATTACACACATTACCTTGCTTCTGTAGCATCACTCATCCCAACAAGGGCAGAAACTCTTTAATGATTCCCTAGCCATACATCACACACATTACCTTGTTACTGTGGCATCACTCGTCACAACGAGGGCAGTAACTCTATAATTATTCCTTAGCCATACATTACACATATTACCTTGCTACTGTACCATCACTCCCAACAACAATGACAGTAACTCTTTATGTATTCCCTAGCTATATTGCACACATACCCTTGCTACTGTAGCATAACTCGTCACAACAAGGGCAGGAACTCTATATGTATTCCCTACAGCTACATGACACACATTACCTTGTTACTGTAGCATCAATCGTCAAAACAAGGACAGTAGCTCTATATGTATTCCCTACAGCTACATGACACACATTACCTTGTTACTTTAGCATCACTCTTCGCAACAAGGGCAGTAACTTTATATGTATTCCCTAGCTGCATTGCACACATAACCTTGCTCCTGTAGCACCACTCGTCACAACAAGGACAGTAACTCTATATGTGTTCCCTAGCTACATTGCACAAATTACCTTGCTACTTTAGCATCACTCATCACAACAACGCCATTAACTTTATATGTATTCCCTAGCCAGACATTACACACAGTACCTTGCTACTGTGGCATCACTCATCACAACAACGACATTAACTTTATATGTATTCCCTAGCTGCATTACACACATTACCTAGCTACTGTAGCATCACTCATAACACCAAGGGCAGTAACTTTTTATATATTCGCTAGCCATACATTACACGGGCAGTAACTCTATATCTATTCCCTAGCTACATTTCACACATTACATTGCTACTGTAGCATCACACATCACAACAAGGACAGTAACTCTATATGCATTCCCTAGCTACATTGCACAAATTACCTTGCTACTTTAGCATCACTCATCACAACAAGGGCAGCAACTCTATAATTATTCCTTAGCCATACATTACACAAATTACCTTGCTACTTTAGCATCACTCATCACAACAAGGACAGTAACTCTTTATGTATTCCCTAGCTATATTGAACACATAACCTTGCTACGGTAGCATCACTCGTCAAAACAAGGACGGTAACTCTATATGTATTCTCTAGCTACATTGCACACATTACCTTGCTTATGTATTCCCTAGCTAAATTACGAACATTACCTTGCTACTGAAGCATCACTCGTCACAAACCAAGGGCAGAATCTCTATAATTATTCCCTAGACATACATTACACACATTAACTTGCTACTGTAGCATCCCTCGTCACAAAACAAGGGCAGGAACTCTATATTTATTCCCTTGCTACATTGCACACATTACCTTGCTTCTGTAGCATCACTCATCCCAACAAGGGCAGAAACTCTCTAATTATTCCCTAGCTACATTTCACACATTACATTGCTACTGTAGCATCACACATCACAACAAGGACAGAAACTCTATAATTATGGCCGAGCTACATTACACACATTTAATTACCTTGCTACTGAAGCATCACTCGTCAAAACAAGGACAGTAACTCTATATGTGTTCCCTAGCTACATTGCACAAATTACCTTGCTACTGTAGCATCACTCATCACAACAAGGGCAGAAACTCTATAATTATTCCCTAGCCATACATTACACACATTACCTTGCTACTGTAGCATCACTCGTCACAAAACAAGGGCAGAAACTCTATAATTATTCCCTAGCTACATTACACACATAACCTTGCTACTGTAGCATCATTCGTCACAACAAGGGCAGTAACTCTATATGTATTCCCTAGTTACAATACACACATTACCTTGCTACTGTAGCATCACTCATTACAACAAGGGCAGTAACTCTATAATTATTCCCTAGCTACATTGCACACATAACCTTGCTACTGTAGCATCACTCGTCACAACAAGGGCAGTAACTCTATATGTATTCCCTAGTTACAATACACACATTCCCTTGCTACTGTAGCATCACTCGTCACAACAATGACAGTAGCTCTTTATGTATTCCCTAGCTACATTGCACACATTACCTTGCTACTGAAGCATCACTTAATTGTCAAACAAGGGCAGTAACCCTATATGTTTTCCCTAGCTACATTACACACATTTAATTACCTTGCTACTGAAGCATCACTCGTCACAACAAGGGCAGTAACTCTATATGTATTCCCTACAGCTACATGACACACATTACCTTGCTACTGAAGCATCACTCGTCACAACAAGGGCAGTAACTCTATATGTATTCCCTAGCCATACATTACCCACATTACCTTGCTACTGAAGCATCACTTGACTCCATCTGCTGTTTGTTTCTAGCTGCTTCATCCCTTGCAGCATTCAATGCCTTTACAGCACTCGCTCGACCCTCAGACAATCTGAATAATTTTAATTTGAAATATTTCAAACTGAAATGTCAACTTATAGAATTGATATTTATACAGTAGAAACTCTTGCCATATGTAACTACATTTATTATTTTTCATATTATTCCCGACAAGTGATTGGGCAGAAGTGCATCATATATGTCTACTGATAAAAACCGATATTGTCTTGGAGCGCATGATTTTTGTTGAAGGACTGGGTGTTTCTAAAAATAGAATTATGACGTACTGTACGTCTCCAACAATGCACCGTCCCACTTTTTTGTTGTGTTTTTTTCGAGATTGCTTACATTACTGTTTTGTAAATTAATCAAAACAATTGTAGCCTTTAACTTCGGTCAATACGGTACCTGAATTTATCGACCTGAGAAAAGATATATTGACCTCGGACTGTGTCCTCGGTCAATACATATTTTCTCGGGTCGATAAATCCAGGTATCGACCTCAGCAAAAGGCTATAATTGGATAGTATTTATAGACTGTACAAAACATTAGAATGCATGAAGGTATTTATTGTTTAAATAGACAGTACTGTGACTGTAAATATATTGTAAGTGAAACATTTATATATATTTATTTGTAGAAACAATACAATTTCGGTTTGCCTTTGGCAATGGCATCTTTCTGCCAAATCTTATCAATTTAGTTTTAAAAGCACTTTTTGAGAAAAAGTAAAAGAAAAATGTGAATTAAGGTAATTATGGATGTTATGTGAACAATGCCAAGCAAGAACAGACAAAATAAAAAGCTTTTTAACAGTTATGAAACTTTGTCTCCGATGATGCATTGATTGTTTGATTTGCAACATCAAGTGACATTAACATGTTACATAAGTTAAGTTTATTTCTTCAGCAGCCATAATAAACTAAATTTATAGCTACAACATCAAATGTCAAATGTTATGCAAGTTTGGTTTTATTAATTCAGTAGCCTTAACTTAAAGCGGTCACATGCACTCACGACTTATTTTCTTCTTGAAGTTTTTCTACTTTCTTCTTAAGCTCCTCGATCTCCTTCTCAACAGCCTCATTATTACTTCTACTTTCCTTCCTGCCTCTCTGAGAGTTTCTGCTGTCATGACGAGGAATAGGCTCACGGGATGGATCCCTTCGGTCAAGACTCCCCGAATCTTTCCTTGCACGCTTATGGTCATCGAATGGTTCTGATTCCTTGTCAATTTCACGTTCAGCTGGACGTTTAGGCATATTTTCAGGTTTCTTTTGTCTATCTCTTCTTCTACCAGAGGTTTGCTACAACACAGCAATTCAATATATGTATGTTCTTAATCATCTGTCTAAACTAGCATCGTAATTACATCATACTTATCTACATATATATTTTGCAAATAAAATGTATTATAATGCCTGTAGTATTATAGTGCCATTGAGCGAAATGTCTCTCTTTGATTTTTGATAGCTGACTGGCACACTGTATATATGGCTTATAGTGAGTTGTTTTTAGGGGTTTAGAATCATAACACCGGTTATTTTATTAATTAACACGCTTTGCTTGACAAAGAAAACAGACGTTTTTAAAAGCTCGCAAAATAAGTTTTCAATTCTTATTTGTGTTCAAAATAATTAAACTTAGCCTTTAGTTTATCATTTATACCAAACTGATGGATATTATTCTGAATTCTACATAACATTTTTTTTTTATGTCATATCAGTTGGCAGACAAAAGTATTTTCCCCAGGAGTTAGGACCCACCAGAAGAACTGTTTCAGGAGTCTGCACATATATACAGTGATGTTATGCTTTTTTACCAGAATCTAGCTACTGTTATGTCTTGCCTGTTTTTAGCTTCTATTATTTCTAGCCTGTTTTAGCTTCTATCATTTCTAGCCTGTTTTAGCTTCTATTATTTCTAGCCTGTTTTAGCTACTATTATTTCTGGACTTTTTTAGCTACTATTATTTCTGGACTTTTTTTAGCTAATATTTGTTCTGTCTTGTTTTAGCTACTATTTTACTGGCCTGTTTTAGCCACTACTTTTATTCTGGCAAAGACATAATAAGAATGCCACATGACATTTATAGATCATTTAGCTAATTCCTAGTTAGTAGTCATCGGTGTGTTTATAACTTTAGAACTGATCTCAGAAATAGCTACCTTGATAAATTTGAACATGATATAATTATGGACTGATTGTGTAAAATAAACTGTATATCTGCCAATTGATTTTAATTTAAACTTACAGCACATTGATGATACCACTGTCATTGTCTTACCGGCTCTCCCAGACGATCCTTCAGTTTCTTAATTTCCAATTGAGCTTCTTCTAGAAAATAATCTGCATCTTCTTTCTCTCGAGCTAATTTGTAATTACGATCCTTCAAGTCTTCCACCTCTTTACTATTTGGCCAGGATAAGTCTAGTTGCTGAAAATATAATTCATTCCAATCAATTAATCTTTAACATCCCTAGCTAAGTAACTTTAGTAGACTCTACCATGCATTGATCTGGATGTGTCCATTATGGTTTGCAGTGGTGAAAGGGTTAATCATATATGTACCATATTGCATTAATGCATTAGGTACATTGTATCCTTTTTTACAATTTCTTTGTAATTATGTGGCACATTGTTTGTTAACAACATTTGGTTCTTCCAATAAACTGTAGGAGTAATCACGGAAGAAAATTGCAGTTTGTCCTCTGTTCATGAATTGAATATTCATATGATGTTGGAATTAATGAATGATAATGAACGTTGATGATCTGATGAATGCGAGTATTTGCACTATACATTTATAAGTATTCAAGAAATATTTAATTAAAGAGATTGATGTTCATGAATTCATTAATTAATTACACAAAATGTAACTATTCATGAATAATTGATGAACATTTATGAATTGTTCACAATATTTTACACTCAGAATATAAACATATCATGGGTAAATGAATATTTTACAAATATTTAATAAGTAATGTTGTAAAAATACATTTCACAGACATTTTTCCAAATACAAAGTGTTAAAAGATTAATTTATGATATTTACCTGTCTATATTCATCCACATAACCAATTAATGTGTTGGCCTTGGTTAGATATGTATTGTTCACTTGCTCAAAATGCTTGTCTTTTTCCCACTTCCTATGTATAGCCTTACAGTCTTTGGTGGTCTTTTTAATGTTGTCAAGACTTTCATGGACATCATCAGCTTTAATTTCTCTACAATCAAACAAATCAAATAATAGAAATTTTGTTTGGCCTGTCAAAGTACTGCATATCTACCACATAAATGAAATGTAGCATATATAGGTTTCCATTTTTTCATGTACATGTATATATAGGGTAAATAAACTTGTTGATCACAACAACATGTAATAATTATATATATAAGTTCAGTTTATTTACTGTTGTCTACAGGATCTATAAAGATCCTCTAAAGATCCTCTAAAGTGACCGGACTTAAATCAGAACAGAATTAACAGTAAACACTGAAATATATAACAATAGATGAATGTGATGTGACTTAATTGGATCATTAATGTATCTCAGATCTATAATTAATGTCATGCATGTGTATGCTATGATATGACTTAAATATATATCCTCTATATATGTATTAATAAGTATAGTAACTGCATTCTCATCACTGCTGAATTTAGAGTACGTAGCAACCATTTTCAATGCAAGCTGTAATTATGAGCTCAGTTGTGTTACATATCCATTATAATCCTTGCCTTCCTTCAACAAGTTACATTTTCTTCTATGAATTTACCTACAGGAGCTAGCTAGAACTGCTTCAGAATTTCTATTGGTATTGAATTACAAATGTTATTAAGTTGGGGGCTAAATATGGTAACATGCAGTTTGCGCTAGGGAAGAAAAAACGCAATACATATGGAAATCAGACTTTGAATCTAGGAATAACTATATGCAGACACTCCATTGCACATGTGATGTGGATCAATACCTTTTCCTCCTTTACAAATCAATAAAGCTTTCCACATCAATTAATCCCTACCTAGCTATAATACGTACAACATATCCGTTATGTGAAATAAACTGATATCTTCTGCCCTTGAACAAACATTATTGTTTACAAATATATGCTAAGATGGACAATTTTATTTTAAAATATAACAAAATTTTACATGCCTTTGAAGTAATATCGATTTTTGTGAAAAGATTCATTTATAGGAAACATTGTTACAAGGGAGTTAACTCTTTTGTTCTGCAAAACCACCCTTAATATTAAAATAAATATGAACGCAACTTTAACGTCGGTGAAGATAATTTATAACCAATATAAGGATTACAGCAGAAATCACCCATATGAACTCGTGTAGAAACGTAAAAATAATGCCTGATACCAAAAACACACTCTTTTACTTTTGATAACGAAAGTAGAATACAAATCTTATCCATTAATAACGAAAGTAGAAAATATCATACCTTGGAGTGAGCTGATTATTTCGCCTTTTACTCTCACGTTTTCCGCGGCGAAATGAATTCCTTAAACTGCTCATAACTACGATGTCAATTACAAGTTAGGAATGAAATTGATAAATATAGGTATATCTACCCGGAAAGTCATTGGCGTTCACAAATCAACCTGCCGGCCCTGCTTGTAGGTGAAGGCCATTGGTGGGATTAAGATCGATTGAGGGGAGAAATCATTACTTATGAAAAGAGGCACAAGAAGGACCAAGTCGTAAAAATAACATAATTGTTGTACCATAATAAGCAAAGGATATGAAAATGTATCTATATAACTTATATGTATGCTTTTACCATTTATTTTAATATTACGACATAACTATAAGTCTGCCGCTGTGCGTCACACACATATCATGCACATATATACATGTTCAATGTACGTAGGCCTACATGTATATTAAGACCTTTTTTTTGGCTTCAGGACCTGGATCCGCCACTGCATATATGGGTGCGAGATGTGTACGTACGTACGTATTGGGGTGGGGCCGGGTCTCTGCTTTAAACCTATAATATTTGAAATCATTTTTTTTTTGCAATGGGAAAAAAAGCATTTTGTCAACTATAGTATATTGATTAAATATCAATGAGTAAGCACGGATAACATCGGTAACCAATTCTCTGAAGTTTGTCTTGCAGTAAGCTAGATCGGACCGATTCTTACGTCTCTGGGAATATATATAAAAAAAAGTTTTTTCACAATATTTGAAATAAGATTTCTTTTTTAATGTTAGACGATCATATTTTCTTTTCGATTTCTTTTAAGAATTGTATTCACAGCCCCGAGTCAAAAACAGCAATTAATAATTGTCTTATTTATAAGACTTGAAAAAAAACCTCGGTAATGGCAAGATACAAGATACAATTAAGAAACTTTATTTAACGTCGCATATATCAAACAGAGATACATTAGCGCTGTAGCGTTATTTTTGCGACACACATGATAAAAAGCAAACAGAAAAACAACAAACAAGATATACATGAAGCTAGCACATAATCAGCGAGTAAAACATGCTAATATAGCAAAAGAGTTAAAATTGAAATAATATACACTAAGATAGTGTAAATTAAAATAAGACGACAAGGTCTAGTAAGTAAAAACATATTGAGCTATAATGATGATTAGAAGAGAGGGCTAGAATCTATGCTGCCAGTTATTGGTATATAAAAGCGCCATGCAAAGCAGAAGTTAAGCTAAATAGATAAGTAAATAAGTAAAACAAAAGCAGGTAACTAGTAATAAAGACTAAAACACTGAAAAAACATTGAAACTCTAAACACAAGTACAGATACGACATGAGCAAACAGGGCCATCCCAGGAGCGCAGCAGTCTGGCAAACTCTGGATAACTATATCCACCTTAAGCTTCCTCAAATGGTTTGGCACTGCCGCAGACTGTTCCACGCCCGGGCGGCCTCGTAGCGAAAAGACTTCAGTCCATATCTGGTTGTTCTTACTCTTGGTAGCTCCAGCTGCCTTTCATTCCTGAGGTTATAAGAAGACGATTTCAATGTTAAAAGATTGCATTAATAATCCGGAGCTACATTGGTAATAATTTTAAAAACTTCACAAGCCATGGATTTCATTCTGTTTATATAAAGAAAAGATAAGTTAGCTTTCTCTAAAAGTTCTGAAACTGGCGTTGTGAAGTTATCCTCAATAAAACGAATTTGCAAGGATAACGGCAATATCATTTTAAAAGGCTTATTCATTTGTTCAGTTTCAAAGTATTTGTGTTGTTCTTTCTTTTTGTTATATTACAGTTTTTTGATGTAGCCGGTATACTTCGTAGAGAAGTTTGAGTTTAAATAAATTGTATTGCATTATTACTACACAAAAGGATTGGACGCAAGTTACCACAGCTTATCAATGTCCTCTCCATAATACAAGTACACATATATGTAAAACTTAGCAATGGCCTAATAATAATTAGCATATGATATATTTCCCATAGTATAAGAAAAGCAGAAAAAGGGACAATAGAAAAAGAGATCAGAAAAAATAAATAAAACATATACTGATAGATGCATTGGGTATTACAACAGCTAGGTATAGATGACACTATATATTGACCTGTATTTACGCAAACCGTTTACTACGTATCAGCAATAAATGCTTGAACATGCTTACACATAACTTCGTTTGATTTTGTATATCTAACGAAATATCACCAAACAAAAGGCTTAATATTCGTATACCATATTAAATGTTGAAACATTGTATTTCTTTGTTCATTATACATTGGACAACACAAATCAAAAGTTTAGCGTCCTCCATAGTATGTCCACATCTACAGGATGGACAGTCAATCAAATTGACACGGAATAAATCATAATTAAGATTACTAACATTATAACGTATACGACAATGTAACATACGCGTGTTCACGTTCCTTTCTTCATACTCTTTAAATACTTTTTTTCACATAGTGGTACTTTATATGGTTTGATAGAACTTTTAAACTGTTTCAAGGTGGTGCTATTTCTGTTTTCCAGAGACAGGTTATTCCATAGATTGCATGTACATATATTGGGTATACAAGAAGACATAGTTAGACTAAGAGGATAGTGAGGAATTTGACATTCATCTCTAGATCTATTTCTAAGATTATAAGCAGACAGGTCGGGCACTATCGAAGGAAGAAAAGACACAAGACAGTTTAGTGAATTTCCAGACTGAATCTTATAAAAAAAACTGTTTTTTTTTTTTAACAATCTACGTTCGTTTAAGGGTTGCCAGTTTATTTCTTGATATAGTCGAAGTTTACTTTTAAAAATGGGCAAACTTGTAATAATTCTGGCGGCTTCATACTGGATGTTTTCAATAGCTTCTGTGTCTCTTTCGTTACAATTATCCCAAACCTCACAAGCATATTCTAAGAGAGGCTGAACATTCACCAAGTATGATTTCTCTACATTCTTCCTACTTCAAGTATATTTAAATTTTTCTAAGTGTTGATAGATACTTCTTAGTTTTATTTATAATGCTATCAATATGAATACTCCATTTAGCGTCCCCACTCATATTAACTCCTAAATGCTTATGAGAATTGACTATCGGAATCGAGTTTCCATCAAGATTAAAATTTGGCTCATAAGATATGGTCAGAAATGGGATTAATAATGTTTCAGTTTTCAGTCGATTAAAAGCCATTAACCATTTATGAGACCAAAGTTTTCGTTGTTCTAAATCAAAATGTATTGCTTGCTCCAATTCGGCCAAATTGCCAGATGAATGTTATAATGCAGTATCGTCAGCGAATAGTCGAGCAACTGATAGTAAAGTATCTGAAATATCATTAATATATGTGAGAAATAAAAGTGGCCCTAATATTGAACCCTGTGGGATCCAGCTTTGAGAACTCTTTCAGAAGATGTACAATTTTTCATAACAACTGATTGGTTTCTTTCAGAGAGGTAGTTTTCAAACCATTTCAACAAATTTCCCGTGATTCCGTATTTTTCATGTTTCAAAATTAGACCTCTGTGCACAACCCTATCAAATGCCTTCGAAAAATCATAAACTATAATCGCAGTGTGTTCTTTATTTCCGAGCACGGTTACAATTTTATGTTATGAGTAGTGGAATGGTTTGGAAGAAATTCAGACTGTAATTTATACAACAAGTTATGTTCAACAAAGTAATTGTATACATGCTTATATACGATACGTTCAAAAACCTTTCCTGCACAGCTCAATAACGAAATTGGCCTGTATAGTTTTCAGGAATATCATGATTACATTTTTTGTAAAGTGGTATAAGATGGGCAAATTTCCAAGAAGCAGGAAATTGACATATACTTAGGGATTCATTAAATAAATACGAAAGAGGTACCGCAATCTCATTTACAACAAGTTTAAACATTTTGTGACTTATTCTGTCTGGACCAGAAGTTTTGTTTACTTTCAAAATTTGAATAATATCTACTACTTTATTGGTGAGTGACTTGTAACTCACTAATACTAGAGTTTGTTCTCTTATCAAGATGTGGCAAGGCTTCATTGGAGTCATCAAGATCAGTCACAGAATGAAAGTATTTATTCAAAATTTCGCATTTATCAATATCATCGGATACTACTTTATTAGATATATTATCACACAAAGGGGGGCTATCTGTATTTAGGTTTTATTTAATGAACATTCCCATAATCTTCCAATAAGTTCTTTGGCTATTACCATTGATGCAAGATGTCCCTTGCATTTCGATGCAAGGGACATCTCCGTTCTTTTACTGGTAAATACTCTGCGCAATTTGTTTCTAATTTTTATATGTTTTCTTATATCACCATTCATCCTACATTTATCATTTGGTCTCACTGTTACATGTTTTGAGGGTATATGCTTTTCTAATATCTTCATGATTTCATCAATAATCTTTTTACATTTATTGTCAATACCAATTTCATTTCTAAACATTTCAACCCAGTTTATAAAATTACAAAATTACAAATGGATCTATCAAACGTTGTGCAGGTTGTGTACACCTAGTAGGGGTTGTGATAACATTTTTAAGATTGTACTGATTTAATATATCACACAGCTGTTTTTTACAAGTCGACATTTAAATCACATGTACACATTACGTTTGGGGTAATACCAAAGGCTAGATCTAACGAATGTTTCGAACGAGTCCCTGACACCTGATGCTGCGTTTGCCAAGGGGGGCCTATACATACAACCTATAACATACAAGAATGTAACTTCGTAGAGAAATGTGCACGTGCTAAATCCCCAGAAATACTCCCCAAATTAAATATATGGATAGTATCAGAAAGGATCAAAGGAACTCTTGTCATCATTTACAATAAATATATACATCAGAGGAACTACTGTACCTAACCAATGGAAAAGGCAGTAACGTCTGCCAAATATCTGAAAATGGCTCAAAGAAAGACGTAACGAATCATCACCCAATAGTTAAGCTAAGTATGTGTTCTATATGAGAAACTGCTAAGAATCATCACCTCATAGTTAAGTTTAACATTTGTTCTATGTAAGAAACTATTACGAATGTTCACCTAATAGTTAATTAAGCGTTCGTTCTATCATCCTCGATAGCCCAGGGATAACGCTCACTTTCGCTCTCTGCAACCTCGGAATATATCATAGCAAAGTTGAAGGCTCATTGTGCACCGCCTTGTGGATGAAACAACAAAACTAG